TTTTTTTTTTTTTTTTTTTTTTTTTTTTTTTTTTTTTTTTTTTTGGTTGTTACAAACCGCTTTAACAACAGGTGCCGTTTATTTTAATGATACTGCCAGCCACTCGGTACACAAACACTAACAACATTAACAATCATTTTAGCGAACGAAAAGCATTAGTGGGCAAAACATTACAAAACTAAACCAAACACCGAACACATCGAACAAGAGTAGATCCAAACATTTAGGAATCGCACTGTAAAACATGACATTAGCTGTTACTTGCCTGCCTAGCTGCCGGTGTATGCTTACTTACTTGTTTCTTTGCTAACCTTACTCCATCAACTTTGCTGTGCATACATAGAATTTCATCTATATATATATATATATGTGCACACGCAGTAATGAATCCTCCTGTGGCATCCAATTTAGATTTATGACTATGTAATATAGAAATTTCATGCGTGATCTCGTTGCATGCCTGCACACCGCACAGCTGAAAATTGCAATTTTCAGTCACTGCTATTAAAGTTCGCAATTGATGTCAAATGTGGCAAATAACCAACAGCAATAATAGCGCGCAGAAGAAGATAAATATCCAATACTAGTATGGCGGCACTATATTTACCTTGAATGAGAATTTACTACAGCACTTGGAGTTTAAAGATAAAGAAAAAAAGAAAAGATAAATAGCTTAAAAAAACTCTCAAAAACAAAAATTATCATGAACATCACACACAAACTATCTTGGATAATGGATAATTGATAATATGGAAAACGGATAACGGATAACGGATAACGAATAACGAATAAGTAACAACTAAATGAATAACGCATCTTAAGCATATATATATATATATATATATATAAGCGACAGTGAGTACATATTTTCAACAATAAAACATTATTAAGCCAACGATGATTGATCGAGCAAATTATCGGAAAAACGTTATATGCACAACAATTAATAAGTGAATAAATAAAGGAAAGATAAGAGGCAATGCACGATCCGTTCAACATACGGTTAATAACTAGAGAATAGCGGCGAAAAGGCCTTAAATATAATGCAAAGCTTATATAAACTGATTGTAAAGGAATTGTATGCCACGAGAAAGGGGCTGAATCGAAGGTCGACGGCTTAAAATGGAAACCGGCCTGTTGACAATAGTAACGGATCGAAGGCGGAAACGTGATTGTAGTTAAGTAACGGATAGCAACCGAAAAAGTGCAGTTTACTGCCACCAGAAAAATAATTAACTATATATTATTGACATAACGGTCGACGTCGGTTCTCAGTGCTTTCCTATATCTGCAAGCTATACGGCATAATTAATGTGTCCCCGTCACGTAGTAGCATATTAGCTGCAGTTAAGTCCGACTTTTAATCGAATAAAGTTTTAAAGATGAATTTTCGCAATTGTATGAAACCTTAAACAAGTAAGAGGATTACCTCTAGATGTGGCCGAATCTCTTGTACACGTCACGTTTACCTTAGCACAGACTCAGACGCCCTTTTGCCAAATTCGAAGCTGATGTCTTTTAATTTTTGCGCACAAGCGAATGCTTATCACAGACATTAAGCAGGTGGACAGACGGACATGAAGAAGAATGTATGCAAAACCCAGAAAAACTTGAGACTGACTCATCTCTCATTATACCGAAAGATTTAGAAATACTTGCAAAATTATTTGCAGAACCCATTTAAACTTGTCTGTCCGTCTGCTGTGCAGCTTTTGAGATATTTTAGTAAAGTTCGCTACACTCACTTGTTTTGACTCAAGGTCGAAGGCTGTTGGCAACGGTTTGGATCGGCCCGTTTCTTTGCACACTTCTCGCATAACATCTTATTTTGATGTGTTTATGGGCCCGCTACCGCTATAGAGTTTTCATTCGTTTTTTAATAAAAATTGAACTAATGAACTAAGAACGTCAAGCCAAACAGGGTTCCCGGTAAAAAATTCTTCTTTAGCCTTATTAATGTGTAATAAATGAATTATTAAAAAAAAATAATGATGAACAAGAAATTGGAAGCAATACAAAAGTGTAATTAGATGAGAATCCCATATCTTCCATTTTTATATTGGTCTATCGTTCCTGTCTATAGCTCCTGTAGCATGGCTTAAATGTCAAGGGTAGATGGCGTGTTGAAAATCAGCCGAAAAACGAAAGTGTGGACATCCACAAGGAACCGGATGGTAATACTTCACAAGTGGGACGTTTTATATGCAGGAGTACGCTTAGAGTGAGTTCAGTAAGAGTGTAGTCAATCCAAATACGAAAATCCAGGAAGAAAAGGTAGGGTTTAGGCAAGAGCGAGGAAAAAAGGAAACAGTGGGTAGACAAAAGAAAAACATCGGCGGTTTTGATGAAAGCAGTTAGTTACTTCAAATCGGAGTAATCGTGAGCACAAAAAATATATATAAATACGTTGTTGTTAGCGGTGAAAAAAGCAAAACTTCAGTCCGATATTGCCCCATCTTTTGCATTTGAAGAGAACATGTTCAGCAGATTCCGGTGTCAGACCTAGTTCGCAAATATCGCTGTCAAATGCTCCGATCATTTGCAGATAGGGTTTCTCATAGATAGATAGGGTTCATCATAAATCCGCTTGATCTCTCAAGACAGGAAAAGAGAGCGTGATAGGGGTTTAAAGGACGTGGGTGGAAGTGCTTTGTAGAAAAGACGATACACTTTCCCTCTAGCAATGTTTATGTATTTCTCGTTAATTTCACTGATGATGTTACTTCGGATTGAAAGGAAAATTTCTGTCGCTGAGTATTTCACAAATACGATTTCACCTTCAATTTGAGCTTCATGCGCATAGAAGTCAGCTTGTCGCTGAGACAGATACCGCAATGGCCGGGATCCCAGACAAGATGGTATTATGGTATCATTGAAAGAATTGTTTAGCATGTGGTAGATATTGTACACATGTTTATTTGTAACATCCTTATTTTTAATGACGAGCAGGGCACCTCTACTATCAGAGAAAACGACATACCTTTTGTATCCATTGGAGACAGCAAGATCGACTGCCTATTTAATGGCGAATAATTCAAGGTGGAGAGTGTAGAATAGATTATCAGGTATTTTCGGTTTCCAGATTGTATCAGGTCGATATTTGCTTCGTTGCTGACTAAATACAAATCTATATTTTCCCAACTAATCTGCAAGATATAAAGCCACGAACGTACAGATGTATAGGCTCACTATGCCACTTTAGGTTTTAAGTCTCGTGGCTCCACCAGGATGACAAGACATGGATAATCCAAATTCAAAAACTAATGAATAATAAAATAAATGACGAATAAACCAAAGACCAAAAAGCGATTTTCAATAAATTCTATTAGAATGAAAACCTAATCTTTTTCTGAGGGAATACGCCCTTGACCGGTATTACTTTTTTGCATTATAATTGCATAAATAAACACTGAAACAGGTTTTTCAATAATATGCGTTGCTTAACACACAGACGAACGATTCATTTTGATCATCATTTTCGATAAACTGTCACACGCACTGACATACTGCAATCCACGAAAACATATTAATTCTGCTTTAAAAGAAAAAACCGAAAATGCAAAGCAAAATAAACCGCAAAAAAAATTTTTTTGTCGCTCCTCAAGTCCGAAATTCCTGGCAAACTTTTATTCTTGCAAGAAGTGGGTCAATCAGATTACAATTTTAACATCAGACACCAAAGAAAACATGCCAAGATTAAAAAGAACATGCATTGCATTGTAAAGTAATCCTTATGCTGAGGGACGTAGCCACTGACATATAAACGAAGAACTCTGAACTTGCGTTTATGCACGCATTCGTCCGTATGCAAGCACGTCTCAGTACAAGAACAAAACCAGCTCAATGGCATCTTACCGTGAGCTGGTTGGCACAAAGGCTGACGTCTTAAATAAATTAATTACATAAAGCTACAAACTTATGTATATAGCTCTTATTTTTCATTTGGCAACGGGTTCGAACCCTCGTCTTTACTTAAAGTAGATACTAATCAACGACTATTTCGCATGAACACGAGATCACCTAATATAGCATAAGATAAGGGCAAGAAACGAAAATGCATTAAAATTCTTTTGGAAATTAATGACAAAAAGCCAATCTTGAATTTGAAGAACAACGATTAATAATTGACACGAGCGGAATTTTGTAAGACAATATGTGAAAGTGAACATGCTACTTTAATAAAAAGTAAGGTTTTATTTACCGAGGATTGGAAGAAGGAAAACACAAACACGTTCATAACAAGATTTTTAAATCAAAATTATTACATTTTCACTTCTAATTTGTGTTCCTTACGTAGGATATTCTCTTTATGAACTTTATTCCCATAACGTATAGAATTTTTTTTTTAATTGGTAAAAAAATGCACTTATACTTCTGAAACATCATTATATACATTTAGCGCTGGAGGAATTTTATATTCTGTTTCAGGCGTCTCGTAGATCTTCTCTTCCTTTGGTTCCACCACAGACACATTATCAGGCAAAGGCTTCTTAGGACCAATTTTATTTTTAGGATCGTAAGGCAACATGATTTTCACTTTAATACCCAAAACACCTTGGCGCAACAAAACGTGACGTGTGGCAGTTTCAACATAATCATTGCACGGATCGCCAGAGTGGATCATCAGACCGTCTACGAATTTCATGCTTTTAGCACGTTGACCGCGCAATTTCCCTGACACAACCACTTCGCAACCTTTAGCTCCAGACTCCATGATAAACCGCAATACACCGTAACAAGCGCGACGCACCGCCAGACCACCAGTTAGCTTATAACGTAAGGATTCAGCTTGCGCAATAGCACATAAACCGCGTGTGGCTACTTTTTCAGCATACAATTCTATACGGCCTGGTTCAAAGTTGAAACGTTTTTGAACCATTGCGGTCAATTCACGTATTCGACGACCCTTTTCACCCAAAACCTGTTGAGTCTTAGTGGCCATGATGATGATTTCAGTACGGGCTGGGGTGACGCGCACTTCCACACCGGAATAACCATCCTCGGCGAGTTCACGAGTTAAGAACTCATTCAATTCTGCCTTAAACATGCCATCGGCAACGAACTGTAAGCAAAGAAAACACAGAGCCAGACATTAGATAATATTTGCAAATTTTTCAATCTTCGTTAACATTAAGATACACAAAAATTGCTGCTTCTAAAATGATTTAGCCTTTGCATCTCCAGCCATCTGCAATTTCTGACACAAACAACACTTTGAGGTTAGGAGTTGATCGCTTTGTTTTTCTATGATCCCCAGGATACATTAGAGTAGTATTGAAGTCGTAATCATTGAATATACCGATCACCATATATTGAAACACAAATATTACGAACTTGTCCAAATTACCTTGCGTTTTTTTGAAATTGTTAGGCTCATTTTTAATTCATACAGCTCGCACAGAACGTGGTAAAAAAAGAAAGAAAGAGCGACAAGATTGTGCAGAGCTGCCAATTTCCGAATTTAAATCTTTTTTGAGGATATATTTGCCTCAAATGAATCCGTTACGGGTATTTGTTATTATTGATAAGAGATAGAAAATGTTCTTTGCAGAATTTCATGTCTTCCGCAAATGCGAAGGCTTTCAAATAATTTGATTATAACTTTTGTTTAAACTTTTTGTCTAATATGTGAGGCATTTTAAAACACTTGTATTCAATTTCTGCTATGATATTGAATAATTATAACGAACATAAAGTTCGCGTTCATTTCTTAATCAATGAATATAAAGTGATGTGTTCTTTTTCATATTTTAAAAGAAGAATATTTATAAAAAGTGATTTCATGGCAAACGAGATAGGAGCCTATGAAAATTTGAACAGTTGCTATAATATTAAACCTCAATACAGATAATTGCAACCCTGTCTTGACGACGCCATTTTCTTTTTATTAAAGAACATTTTTTTCAATGCGAATCGTTCTACTTGCAGAGAAAATTCTTAAGAAATTTTGCTAAATCGAAAAGGTTTATCGCGATTCGCTTAAAAACCAATAAAGAAAAAATAATTATCGCGTTTTTTGACGAAATGTCTGAACAAGGCAAGAAGTTACTTGAATTACGTGTATCTGACCTTAAAGAAGAATTAGAACGGCGACGGTTGGACACTATTGGACCGAAAGCAGCTCTTATAGAGCGTTTAGAAAAGGTTTGTAAAAAAACGCGAACACTTACTCATTTGGTGAAGTCATAATTATGAATATTTTCAGTCGCTTAAAGAGCAAAGTATTGATCCAACAAAGCACGTTTTTATAATGGGTGGTAGCAAAGCCAACGAACAAAAGGGCAAAAAATCTGCGGCAATTAAATTGCCAATGCCCGTAATGGTGAAAGAAGAACCAAAGGATGATGACGATATGCCTAGCCAAGGAGACAGAGAGGACTTGAACGAAAAATTTCAAAGCGAACAAGATCAAGAGGAAGAAAATGATATGAACGGTTACGATGAAGAAGTTGATCAAATTGGTGATGTAGATGAAGAATGCGTTTACGTAAACGATGATGAAATGAACGAAGGAGATGACAATGATCACGATAATAATGAACAAAATCATGATAGGCAAGAGGCTAATGAGCAGGAATTGACGAATGACAGTTGCTTAGATGAGGGAAATCGGGAAGACGAAACAAACGGTGACACTGCCATCAATGATAACGAGGAAGGTATTAATTTGACTATTGGAGAGGATGAACAACAATTATTACATGATGAGGTAAAAGAGATTTGTAGCTTATGGTGAAATTTCGTAAAAAGATTTTATATTAAATTCTTTTCTGTTATATAGGCTCCAGACTACAGGGAAAAGACAAGTATGTATTTTTATATGCAATAGCCTTTTAGAAGTGATACGAATTTGTATTTTTTATTTACAGCATCAATTTCTACTCAGAAAGAGAAGGGTTCTTCGAAAGAAGGTAAATCAGAAAAAAGTAAGGACGGCAAGAAATCCAGTCACAAAGATGAAAAAGATAAGAAAAAAGATGACAAATCTTGCGACAAAAAAGATGAAAGGTGTGAAAAAATGAAATTTTTCAACTAAAATAGCGTAAGACATGTTTCCTTATTTTACAAAATATTTTCAGTGAGCTAAAATCGTCTTCAAAATCTGGCCATAAAGATGATAAAGGTAACTTTTCAGGCAAAACTTTAAGTATTAGTAAGTAGTAGTAAACTTTGTCAAAGAAACTTATGTTAAACGAGAAAAAAGAAATGAAAGACTTCCAGGGCAAGAAAGTGTGAATTTATATTATGGGAAAAGTCATATAGTAACAACACTCAGCGCAAATTTTGCAGATCTTTAATTCATCAAGGAGCACCGTCATAATTCTGCATATCAACAATTGGCGAAACTATGCTGTAATCTTATAAAACTATGTGGGAAGACTTACTTAAGCTTGCACGTAAGATCGTTTAATTTAGCTGTCCGTGGAAAACCTTTGGGTTCCCATTTGGGGTGGTGGCAAGGAACACTGGACATAAAATAACTTCCAGCAGTATCTTTCAACAAGAGCTATATGTTCGCAATTATGCCACTCTGTAATGCTAGGAAATTGTACTGTGATACGTAATCGACGCTTTCGTATTTATTTAGAAGGAGATTTTGACGTTCATCCCTTTATTTTATGACATATTGCTTAGCGTTAAATGAATTAATAAAAAATGTTCGCTTTGTGGATAATAATCAACTAAACTCATCACCAGGATTCGCTAATCACCACAAACATCGCAAATTGTAAAAAAATGCATATATACTTTGCCTGTAAGCGTGCATTTAAAGCAGTCTGTTCTCGAGACATTGTCGACGTAAATCCTTATGCTGCTACATTTTCCCGCGGTTTTTATTGGGACAAGTACATAGCATTTATACAACATTTGCAGAAATAGCTCAACAAAAGATATATGATATCTTACTACTGTGTCGGTGTTGAAATCGTCCTCAATTCAAGGCATTGATCATCGCTTATCATTTTTCAAAAGCTTTAGCGATAAAAATGGATTGTAAAAATCATGTTTGGCATTGTTGAATCTCGTTTTATTTTAATCTAAAATTATCTTTTCTAACTTCAGCTATCTAAAGCATTCAAAATATGTAATCATCCGAACTAATTACTATTCGCAGAAGTATGTTGGACGTTTCGGTCTATGGTTCAGGTTTAAACAAGTGGACTCCATGCGCTAATGCAATTTAAGCAAACATTTGGAAAGTAATTGACCTACAATAGACTTGGCGTATGGTAACAGTTTTGGTACAACACTTTTGATTAATGATATGTTTTCCAGCAACAAATTTACAGAATGCAACGATCAGCATTATATACATTTTACTTCTTCGGATTTCTATAAATTCACACTTTCTTGTCCGTGCTATCATCCCTAAATATTACTAAAAGCGCTAACATATTAGAGCCTCGCTGATATAAAAATCCGAAAAAGAAACGGTAAAGTGCAAAAAAAAAAAAAAAAAAAAAATATTAAAATCAACACAAAGCTATGACAATGAAAAGTAAAAAAACTTGTATAGACTCTTTAATCGAAAGTTATATAATGTGTACCACAAATATCTATAACTCTTCATTATCTCTTCATTCTGTTATTATTTATGTGGAATTTACAGAAAAATCAACAACAAATACGTCAACGAACAACAACTCATCTGCAACGGCTGCCACCAATTCATCGTCATTGAAAAGTGGTGGCGGTTCAAGTGGCAGCAGCAAATTGTCCTCCACCAGTGCTTCTCGTAATTTATGGGTGTCGGGCTTATCCTCATTGACTAGAGCCAGCGATTTGAAAACAATTTTTTCAAAATATGGCAAAGTAATTGGTGCGAAAGTGGTGACCAACACTCGTACGCCTGGTACACGCTGTTATGGTTATGTTACGATGTCTTCATCCAATGATGCAAGTCGTTGTATCGATCATTTGCATCATACTGAATTACATGGTCGTATTATATCGGTGGAACGTACTAAAAATGAAATTGGTGGCAGCTCTTCGAGTTCATCAAAAAATGCCGGCAAATTATCCGGTTCATCGAGAGCAGAATCTAAAAAGAAGGATGACGATAAGAAATCCAAAGATGGTGGCAGCAAATCGTCACATAATGATGAAAAACGTAAAAGTGAGGCAACCAAAAAAGACAGGTCTTCATCGGCCAATAAAAGCAAAGATGATAAGGAACACAAGTCCTCACATTCCAAAGAAGCTGCTAAGGACAAGTCCAAGGATGATACAACAAAAGACAGCAAGCGTAGTGAAAAGGCCCGTTCCGAGGTTTCAGCTAAGGCTAAGGCTCAGACTACGAATGAACAAAATAAAGGTAATCGTGGTGAACAAACTGACCGCGAACGAGAGCGTTTGCGCGAACGGGAACGTGTGCGCCAGCGAGAGATACTCTCTTATCAGAAAATACGCCAAGAACGTGAACGTCAACGTCTTCGCGAACGAGAACGTGAAATTCGTGAAGAAGAACGCCGGCGTCGTGAAATACGTGAACGTCAACGTCAAGAAGAAGCTCGTTTGGTCGAGGAGCGTCGCAAGTTGGCTTTAGAGCGTGAACGCTTGGAGCGGGAGAAGGGAGAACTGCTGCGTTTAGAACGTGAGCGCCAAAGATTGGAGCGCGAGAAACTCGAATTGGAACGTCTTGAATTGAAACGTCAGCAAATGAAGTAGGCATTGTGATTCAATCAACCAATTACATGAGAGTGTTAAGTGCATTTATTCCTCTTCGTTAGGCAGAATCAAAAACAGTTTCCTCTCTCTCCAGCTTAGACATAAAACTCAATATCACAAATTTCTCACCTTCTCAAATACTTTTGAAAATACTTTTTTTTTTTTTCTTTGTTATGAGACTTACTACTTTAAACATTCCATAACGTCCACCACAGAAGGAGGGAGAGAGAAAAAGGAAAGCAGATTGATATAAAGTAAGGCAGCGAATAAGAGTTAAGCATTTTTTTTTTTTGTCTATAACGATCCTTTCACAATTACTTGAAAAGGAGTGCGTGATTTGGCAAATTTGCTGTGTGCAAAGTGGTGTAATCTTTTTTCTGAAGAAATCGTATTTAAACACAGTATTGCTGGCAATACTTATAGTTTACCTATGTTCTAAGATCACATAATAATGTATTTTTTTCTTTGGTTTTTTCTCTCTTATTCTGTGATACTATTTGTACAATGACAAATGTAAGGATTATGCGTGAAGACCCTATTAAACGCATCAGCAAACGCTCAGGCGATGAACGTTATACAGATGTTTCAGATCGCAAGCGAACATCGGGTTCAGCCACTCGTTTTGAGGCTCCTCCACCTCCTCGATTTGATGCTTCTTTAGCTTCGTCAAGAAGGTAAACATTGTCGGAAAATTACTGAAAATTATTAAGCGCTTAATTCCCGATATTTCAGTTCTCATAGCTATGATAAGAAACGTGATGAATACTCAAGTTCTTCATCCAGCAAACGCTTAGATGATTATTCGTCTTCAAAGCGTTTGGATTTCGGTGGCAGTTCTGGTACCAAGCGTGCAGCCATTGATGATTTTGCAAGCGTAGCCAGCAAGCGTAGCAGCGATGATTATTCGAAGCGCAGTAATGATTACATCGCTCCATCATCGTCAAAACGAGGCGGCATTGATGATTATGGATCGAACACGAAATCCACTCGGGATGATTATAAGCGTGACGTAGAAATACGTCATATGCCTTCTTCTAGCAGCAGTTCATTACACAAAAGCAGTGGAAGTGGTAGTAGTCGATATGAGAGCGAGCGATCTTCATACAGACGTATAGACGACATAAGGTACCGTTTGCACAAAAATTTTTACTTTCTTGTTTAACCTATACGAGTATTCACAGCAGCAGCAAACGATATGACAGCTCAAGCGGTTACGGAGGAAGTACAGGTGGTAGCGTTTGGCCCCCATCGTCATCTTCGCATATGGGGCATTCAAGTGGTGGCGGAGGTAGTTCTTCGTTGAAATCCTATCCCAGCAACAGCTTGTCCTCTACCATTCATAGTGCTGGCTCGGGCTGGACTAAATCTGGCCCGGTTGAAGAGTCAAATTGGCGTCCGATGCCTTCGTCTCAGGACCGCTATGATCGCACGTACAATGAACGTTCTAGTGGTTATCCAAACGCTGGTAGCGGTGGTAGTTTGTATAGTGGCAACCGCACTGGGCCAGATCGTTATGGTGGAGGAGTGTCTTCACGTTATTAAGTGAAGAATATTTATAGCTCCTGTTAATATTTAATACATATTTCCATACGTATATTTAAATGGATTACCAGCCCTCCGGAAGATTTCTTTCCAACAATATATCTCTACATTCTTTTCCTTCGTGCTTTCTAATGTACAATTGCAGTTGTAGTTCGTTTAGTTTATATATTGACAACTTTGTTGTAATGTAATCGTACATTATAAATAAATTTCATTAATTAAAAAAAAATCAAAGTGCATTGTTTATGACGGTACCATGTTCGCAGAAAGGCTACCAAATAAAGCGATTACCAGAATGAATTTTTTGCCAAAAGCAATGCTTTCTTTAAAATATGCTTGAAATAGAATCGAATTAACAATGTCTTCTTAAAATCAAATCATTAATAGTAAAAAGCAGTTCAAGTCCAGTACGCCTTAAGGTAAATTGCTTCTGCATGTCCTCCATTCGTTCTCATAGTCCTAAATCTTGTATAGATGGTATTAAAGGTGCCGTTGTCTCGACTAGAACAAGTACGCTGTGAGGCAAAGGCCAAATGTCTTTTACCGTAACATAGTAACCCCTTTCCATTTGCTCGGCGGAAGAATATAAGCTAGAAAGAAAGATAGTAAATGTTTTTGCAATCACAAGGATAACTAAACGTGATGTATATCGACGATAAAGACTTACGCTAATATATCTTGGGGTTCTAAAATTAATTCGGACTTATAAACTGAAGCCAAGAAATTGGTAAAAGCAGAAGTATTGTTCTCCGATTCCACGTTCATTCTGTGTGGTCCCGACCACATCTATTAAAATGGGTCAAGAAGGTTTACAATAACTTTGAATTCATATGTAATTTACCGGCGATTTCGAGATATCCACTTCACTTATTTCAGGAACGCCGTAACGAGTGCCCCAAAATGTAATTACATTATCATCGGAACATACTAATGAACATTGCTCGCTGCATTTACAATTCTAGGGGAAGCATTAAACGATTAAAGAGCAGTTTTTAAATTGAAAGATAAGTAAGCTCACAGTTATGTAACGATCTTTCATTGATTCTACCAAGGTCACGATTGGCAAAGGCGAACAATGCCCAGTACCCCTTTGACCGAAACTATTAGAGCCCAAGGTTAAGATGTAGCCACCCTCAACGAGTAGTAAAGTGTGTGCGGTTGAAAAGCTAGCATCCATAATACATCGTCGAGGTAGAGGTAATTTCATTTTTTTCTGAAAAATCGAGGTAGAGCTTCATTCAAAGATATTTGTGGAGATATTTTTAAACTACCATAGCTGTTATTTTCGCAGGTTTTTCAAAGCCCAATTTGTTAAATTGATTGCTACCACAAACATATATATCACAATTCTCAAAGAGGATTGCCGAAGTATCAGGTCCACAAAATATTTTTTTAACTTTATTTTTCGCCTGAGAAAGCAAAATTTTTTGAGGAGTTTTCCTTAAGAATTGGGGAAATTAAAAAAAAAGAGTTAAGAAGGAGGACAAAGCATAAGCGCAACTTACTGTTGTGTTTGCAATTCACCTAAACCTAGTGAACCATGGGAACTAGTACCCCAAATATAAACGAAGCCTTCCACACTTAAAGCCAAAACATGCGTAAGTCCCGCTTTGATATCTTTAATTTTGATATCCTCTAATTTTTCAATAAACTTCGGACTGTGATAGATTTTATTGTCATTGTGACCCAAAGCATATTTTGAATTGTCACCGCAGCTTAGAATTCCACCTGTTTGAGTTAAAAGTATGGTAAAACCCTCGCCGGCGCAAGCGCTGCATTAAAAAGTATTTGGTAACCTAATTTTTGTTTCTTGAGAAGACTTATACCTGATAATATGATGATTTCTTATGGAGTCCATGCGGCTGGGATAATGTTTCCAGGCTTCTAAAGAGCTTAGACCCAATTGTCCATGGGAACCTTCGCCCCACGTATACACAGATCCATCTGTTCGAAGTTACAAGACCTTCTTAGACAAAGATTAAAAATAAATCTTAATAGTGCACCCACCACTATTCACGACCACAAAATGAGTGTTACTAGTAGCTACAGTTAATATATAAGCTTTCGGTGGTAACTGTATAGGATTCATGTCAAAGCTCTTACCAAAAGTCTTGACCTGATATAAAACCGATCTACGGATATAGTCATTAAGATAAGCGTGAGATCTTGTGGGGAAACTTAAAAATAATATGATTTTCACCTTTTCTCTATGGTCTCACTGGGAGCCACTGTCTGAGCATTCATAACCTCCTTGGTTACTGTTTGAGCTGTAGCAAGGTTAGCTGTTGTGGATTGGCGGGAGCTGCGATCTGGCGAAGTGTTATTATGAAGTGATAATGTTCCTGAACTGATTATTGAAAGCGAATTCTTAATTGATTCGCTGTCGTCTTCGTACGAATATCTGAAGTTTAAAAACAAGTAATAACAATATAGTCGTTCAAGGTCGACCATAAAATACCGCATACCACATTGCCTAATATAAATCGTTATTTATATTCGCGATAAAATACCGAGTTTTTTCCCTTTTTTTTCTCGTAAGTGCATATTTGCCGTCGAGAGCGTGGCCCAAATTCGTTCCACTTATTTTTTTTTTAATTACTGTTACGGGCTTACTTTCACTATAATATAATAAAGATTAGAGCTTTTTGTCGCATAACGCGTTACTATTCGCAGGAACAGTTATAGGGGAAAAGGAAAAAGCCCATCGAACTCACGTTTTTCACTTCAACTTACTATCCGAAAAAACAAATTATCTTCAAATAAGAAAGTCGTAGTTTTAAAAATAGTTCGATCTAATAAATTTTTAACACAGTTTGCCCTTGGGCCGGTTTTCCCAAAATATCGCAAAATTGTAACGTGCAGTTTAAACACAAATGGGCGTGGGCAGCTATCAAATGAAAGGACGGACAGATGGACGGACAAGCTTAAATCGAATCAGAAAGGCACCCTAAATCAATCAATAATAATTGCGTGTACCTTGAGTCTTCTAGTCGTTACATACACACGTACGCGCTTAATATACCCTTACACTATGAATGGTGTCCAGGTAATGAATGAATGAATGAAAAAAATAATAAATATTTATACCCTTTATTTTTTCCTAAACTGCGAAAGATCAATGGAATCCAGTACTCCAATATTTCCGAGGCTTTGGGACGATGGGCCGGATCAACCTTAGGAATCAAAAAGTAATATTTTATAATATTTCATTAAGGTGCCTCTATGGTGTGAGTCCAATTATCCTCCGATCCTCTTTCATTGCATTAAATATATGACTAACTAACCTGAAGCAAATTACTAAGCAAGCTTCGTAAGGCTGAAGTATAACCCATGGGTATGGGCGTATAAGAACCCTGAAAATTATTTCATTTACTACATACAAACATTATCCAATATCCACAATTTATGATTACCGCCATTATTTTGCTAACCAACTCGGATAGATTTGAAGCTGCAAAGGTCTTACGCAAACAACACAATTCACCTAAAATGCATCCCAAAGCCCAGATATCGCTTTTGTGATCATATTCCTTGCCTTCACACTAAAAAAAGAAGAAGAAGAAGAACAAAGCTTAAATTATTCGATTAATAACATGAATGAAACATTTCAATTGGTTTTCACCATTTCTGGACTAAAGTAGTAAGGCGTGCCTAAAACGGTTTGGGCATGAATTTTGGTTGTCATGATTTTCGAAATACCAAAATCACCGATTTTGACTATACCGCGGGAATTAAGAAAAACATTTGCCGTCTTCAAATCCCTGAAAATAAATTCATGTCAAATTTTGAAATCTGCCAACTTGGACGTAGTGTGTATTCCTCTAACCTATGTAGTATGTTTTCATCATGCATATAATTAATTGCGCTCGAAATTTGTTCGAAAACCGCTATAATGTAGCGTTCGGGGAAGTAATCGGGAATTTTACGAGCTGCTAAACCCTGAGCCAACGTCCCACCGTCAGCATATTCCATTTCGATCAGTAAAGTGTTATCTTTTACGAAACTTCCAAAATAGCTAAAGAGAGCACACAAACAAAAAACAAAAAAAAAAAAAAGAAGCGGTTGTAAGAACCTCTCTGTTAGCCGCCTTATAATGCCTTATAATATTTACCTTATAATATTTGGATGATGTAATTTCGAAAATACTTCGACTTCATTCATGGCCAAATCTTGCTCGGCCTCACTCAAGTTATTCAGGTTAATCTGCTTAAATACTACATGACGTTGATCGGTTTTACATTTGTAAAGCACGGCAATGCCAAATGAACCCTGCCCGACTATTTTGATTTTGTCATAATCACTCAACTCAGCTCCAACTGCATTCGAAGACTCGCCATAATCCTGCGAATTAATTGTATCCTCACTAATTGCTATATCTTCATTCATCAACTCCAAGGTCGATTTTTCTATTTGCGTTAAGTTCGCCGATTGATTATATATTGAAAATATTGTCGATTTACTGAAACCGTTAAAAGTTGCGCGTCTCTTCTCCTTCACTGATAAAACTATGGAGGATGCATCATTACTGGATGTGGATGAATCAGAAATACGGCCATTAAATATAGATAGCGTTGAGGCTTTTGCCTTAAGTTTTTTCATCTCCTTTCTTAAGAATTAATAATATAACTCAAGTGGTAGTGGTAGTGAGACTAATAACTAAAATCTACCCTTGACTAAAGTTGCAATTATCTAAAAAACATTTTGTTGTGGTCACTTGTAGCTCCAATCGTTACCGTGGCAATGAAGCAACTGGTTTTTTTTTATAAGTGTGTCTTAAGTTTTCTGTGAATATAAATAGATTGAAAAGTTTCTTGACCCTTTTATAGTTGAATCATTTCATCAAGTTTCTTGAACTTTGTTTCAATTGCCTACACTGAGAGAAATATGTTTCGAAAATCAAATATTCCTGTTTCAACATTTGCTTTACAAGATTCATTTCATTGGAATGCTTTTACAAGAGTTTTCGTTTAAATAATTTAAACTTTTATCGAAAGCAAACTTTTACACCTACACATATTATACCCATCATCGAGAGATGGAGGGTGTATTCGTTTTGTCAAAACGTTTGCAACGCCCAGAAGCAAGCTCCACAAACACCATAAAGTGTGTACGTTTTCGATCGGTCCGTCTGTCCGGTTGCCCGTCTGTATAATGTCTGTTGTTGTAAACATCCTCGCAGCTGCAAAAATTAATCTATCGGCCACAAATTTGGCAGAAACATTGCAAGTTCTTGCACACAAGTTGGTATTGAATATGGGCCAAATCGCCCAAAAGGCACGCCTACATTACCATGTAAATTGAGAACTCTGTTTCTTTAAAGGTATGCAAAATTGATAGTTCACCCTTTACTGACACAAGAGCAAATAAATCTACAAAAATTTGCACCTGTACAAAAATTGAGTAAAGTCATCACTTATGCAATAATATAGCGTATCAAAAGCAAACAGACTTCAAAAACCCCGCAAAGTATAAAAACTCTAATCCAGTTTCAAAACATGCTCGTCGGTTCGTCCGTCCGTCTGTCCAACTATGTAGTATCTGTGGTAAACATTCTCCTGTTCCCAAAAAGGAGGTTATCGCCTAAAGAATTGCAAAAGATTTTGAAAATGGCCCAAACAGGTCAAAGAACCCGCGCACAACATGTATGCAAGAAAAACTTAGAATCCTTTTGCTTTCTACGTCTTTCACTCGTTGCTCATAGACTGCAATAGGTACACGATATAAATTTCGACAAATATTCCTACAAAACCAGAAAGAATCAGCCACGTTCATCCAATGTTATAGAGTATGCACCTATACATATACATATTTCACTTTTTTGCAACGATGATGGGTGTAAATATCGTCGCAATCACCAATTTTCTTACTTGTTAAGATTAATTGTGTTTCTGAGCGTCATTTATATTTTTGGATCAAAAATCGTAAATTATTGTTTCTTCGCCCTATGCAACGGCTATATTTAATTTGACTGGATTAAATTTTATTTATTAAAGTAAAGTAGAATGTGTTTTGTGACAATGCCGTTAAAGAAATTTCAAATACAAAAAAAAAAAAAAAAAACAAATTGTTAACATTATTCGTCTATATTATTGGTTTGGTTTTATTTGTTTCGCAGCCGTCGGATGAATACAAAATATGCCTCTACCATGGAAAATATTCCCCGACCTGGAAACTATTTCATACATGTTTATGTAAGAGAAGAAATTTTCTGATTTGATTGTGTTGTTGCGATGATTGCACTGAGCCAATTAAACATGTACCACCATTCATGTTGGTCTTTTTAATGTCAGCACCATGTTCAACTAGAAATTTAACTATAAAAATGATCTAATTTAAGAGGAAGCAGAGCCGTTTTAATGTTAATCTAACTTAGCCATTGCAATGTGGGTCATAGAACAAGCGCTTCGTACAGGCGTTGAACTATTTCCTTTTTAAATATAAACGCATGTATATAGACAAACATGCCGTTCCCGTTCTGCTCGAAGGCCTTTCGAGATTGCAGAATTTTCTGCACACTTTTTACATTCTTCAATAAGATCATAGCTGAGTTTTGTAATTTTTTGATATATCCTTGGGATTACAATGGACATCCAATTACCATTGAGCTCACTAACCGCTTGTTCATTTTTGGTAACTATTGACTCATTGACACATTGATGATGACTTGATTAAGTTGTAAATATTTTGGCACAAATGAATTTATTTTTTTATACAAATACCGATAACTGGATTATTGGCTTTTGCTTAAGCCAAGAATTTCATTAAAATAGTAATGAAAAGGAAGTTATTATCAAGCTTGTTGTCGTTTGATGATCTTTGCAAAGAGGACGGACAGAAGCACAAACTCCGTGATTCAGTTTTCAACAAACTGATCAATTATTATTATTTTCTTTTTATTAATTACTTTAATAGTTGGAAATTTTAATGAGAATTGAGATCTTTTACATATTTTGGATTCCTTGTAATATATTTAAAAAATAATATTTAAACTACATTTCTCGTTGGGCTTAATCTTGCTAATAAAATAGAATTGCTTTTAATTTAAACTTAACGTAAATATGATGATGATTAAATTAAATTAAATTAATTCAATAAAATAATTTTATCATTATATAAAAAATAGCATGGCCATGTGTAACACGATTTTTTCCGCGAATTTATTATTATTTTTACAATTTTGAAAAGGTTTGCTTAAATGGAAGTGTCCCTTAAAACGCGCATATTAGGTATTATTAGGTTTAGCTTAATTCAAGATTTGGATCAATAATTACATAGTTATATATATATATATATATATATATATATTGTTATTTTCTCATTTAATTATATAAATGTTTGTTAAAGCGGTGCTGTGCAAAAGATCTGATCTGATCGTCAGGTTATAAAAAACCAAAAACTAGATGCTTTATAATTCTAATTCATGTAAAATGCTTAAAATCTATGTCTTTTATTATTACGTAAATATTATATAATTGCATTTAATAATTAACACAAGTTTTTGAATTTTCGATTCCAAATAATAGTAAATAAAAAAGAAATAAAAAAAAATTGGATTTTTTTTTTTTTTTTATATACTTTCTGAAAACGCTGTTATCCGTATATAACTTAAAATTCCTTTAGTTTTCTTTCTTTTTGTTAAGATTTTCGCTAAAATATATTTGTTATATATATATATATATATATACTCTTTAAATTAATTAATATTTCCTTTTTCCTTGTCGGGTAAAATTTTGCTAACATAATTATGGACAAATATTGAATTTTATTGTTGCATTTGCAGGGTTTGAAAATTCATTTCAAATTTTATATTCACTTTTAGGTTTCTTTTATTTATATAGATATTAAGTTTGTGAATTGATGTGTATCTGTTCTGCGTGGAGGTGTACTACTTGGTACGGATGGTAGATTTAACAAGCACAACGATTAGCGTCCGACAAACCAGCCAGACTAAATGTTCCTAAACCATTTGAGCCCGGTGATTTTTTATCATGCGGTTTGTCATCGTTATCGAAATTTTCACCCTGAAAAATTTTTCAAGATTTGTAAATAGCATAAAGTTTTAATTCAATATTCAATTTATGATTTAAAATGTACCCGACGTTCTCTTTGTTCGCGGATTTTACGAGCCAAAGTTAGAAAAGCATCTTCTATGTTAATATTATTTTTGCAAGAGACCTCAAAGAATGGCATTTCGAAATTTTCCGCAATCTTAATAAAAAGAGTTTAAAGTTTTCACCATAATGTTATCCGCATTTAACCGTCCATACCTTTTCTCCTCTTTCTTTATCTACCATTCGTTGTGTAGCCGAGCATTCACATTTATTACCCGCCAACACTTTGACCACATCGGGTGAAGCATTCTCTTGTATATTTCTGAGCCAATATGACAGATTATTGTAACTTTCCAAATTGGTTACATCATACATCAGCAGTATCCCCATAGCTCCACGATAATAAGCGGTGGTTAAAGTACGAAAACGCTCTTGTCCAGCTGTATCCCAGATTTGTAATTTTATCGGGACGCCATCCAAATTTATAAGCTTTTGCTTGAAATCGATACCTATGGGAAGAAGAACGACAATAAATGCATTCTCTTCTTAAAAGTACCATAAGCGATTGTTAATATTTAATGAAAACCATTCTTGTGGAAATACTAATGCTTGCATGTAAATTATGGAGAGTGTATATGTGTGGTTGAGTCGTTACAGACACTATGCAGATAGTTAGTATGTCATGTTTCGCTAAGTGTGTAAGATAAACATAAATCCAGGTCATCCATCTGTTACCTGGATTCTTCTACAAATTTCTTTCAAATACAATGCAAAAATTTAATTAAACGTAAAGTAAATTTACTTACCAATTGTGGAAATGTATGTATCGTAATATTTTTCATCGCAATATCTATGAACGATGCAAGTTTTGCCAACATTTGAGTCCCCCAATACCAGCACTTTATAGGTAGTGACAAAGTCTAAAGCCATGAGATTTATTTGATATTCTTATCACTGTAAAGTCTGATAGATAGATATATTCCAGAGTCCCTTTCGATTTAAGGAAAGTTATTGGAATTTAATAATCTTTACTTATCAATACGCCGCCTTATTGTTACTGTTCTATTTACTTAAGCTTTCTCCCTAAGAATTTATAAACAGTTAGTTTTAATTTAAAAAAATAATTAACGTATTAAGAATTTTTGTTTTTTTTTTTTCTTCAGTTCTTTGAATGTTTGTGAGAAGTATGATTCAACTTTGATTTTAATTTGTCTTCATTTCTTTATGTTGTGTTTTTGGTTGAAAAATCAATATCCTCTTTATTTGGCACATCTCTGTCAAATTCTGCAAACCATTAAACAAAATAACAGCTCTCGCGCCAATCACAATAACAGCTGATTAGAACTCAATGTTCAATTTGCGGTCGGACGATCACTTTATTAAAGAATTCGTGTGTAAAGAGGAGATTTTGAATTGGGAAAATTCTTTTCCTAAGCAAACCATTAAAAACAAGCAGAAGGACAGACATTCATAAGCCGATTACGATCACTTACAGCGTACAGCTTTGCGCAACAAGCATTGGACCAGCCTGTTATGTGAAGAATCCAAAATTGAAACTCAAGAAAGGCAAAAAACTTCCTTACAATTAATTATATTTAATATCAATATCTTTAACAAGTTATTTGGATTTTGGCGCTTAACCCAAGCTACCACGTATTCTGTGGAAAATTTGTATACACAAATATAAAACTTGGAAAAGATAATAATGCATTAATTACACCAAATTTGTGACGCCAGCTATTAGTTGACTTGAAAGTTTCTATGCGCGCGCCCTTGGAAGGGCTAAAGGGCTTTCAACTTGTTAATAAAGGCGGAAAAGGAAATTAACCTTAATAACGTAATCTGAAAAACACTTAACTGTTAATTTAATGTGTTAAATTAAACGAAAAAATAAATATATGCTAAGAAAGCAACTAATTTATAGATCGGAAGGATGCTTTCGGCACGCCATTGTCTGCGAGTCATTTTCTTCTCAATCAAAACAAAACTTTGCAAAAATGTAATCGAAGTAAAATACTATCCGCAGGAAAAACAAATTTGTTCTACTGTCCTACTGTTAATTTTCAAACGTACTGTGCACTGTGCACTGTAACGATAGATTGGCATCACTTTGTTTTAAAAACAGGTGTTAGTACAAATTCTCTGTAGTTTACACAACAAAATTTTTTCGACTGCAGTTTTGCAGGCAGGGTATATTTTTGCATTATTTTCACTTTGTTCTTCATTCTTTTCTTCATAAGTTTTTAAAATGATTAAAATTGTGCAATTTTTTTTTAACGAATTACATGCTGCTTTGGATTAAAAAATAATGATGTGACTGTTAATATTATTTGGATATTGGATTGGTGCAAATGACGATAACAACAACTTCTACAACAACAATTGAAATAATACCACAACCGGTCAATTCCGGCTTAAATGGATTTCTTTATATAGGCCCAGCAAAGCGACGAAGACGAACTTGAACCATCGACCCGGACAAATCCTTGTTGCTGTGAACACTTGGGCCAAGGCCGGGTTCGTGAACGTCTTCATATTTTGGGTTGCTGCTGCAATTGTTGCCATTTGGGTTTGGCATTTATTCATTTACTCACCTGCAAGTTACCTTACTTTCGAAACATAAACAATATGTTGCTTACTTTCCAGGATAGGTTGCGTATTCCATGGCGTGGTGGTGCCAAACAAGTAGCGTTAGATGTGTGGTTTTCAGCATTAATGGTTGCGTTAGTTTTAGGCATCGCCGCTATCAACGTCTACACAGCTGTCATAATGTTTTTAGCCAGTTTAATATTTATTGGCTACGGTTACTACTACGTTAGGCGATCCTTAATACGTACTCGTATTTTTGCATTTTGGTTAGTCTGGTCCGTGGCTTACATGAGTGTGCTGATGGAATTTGCTGTACCGTTGTTAGAGTTTTTACCCGAAGAGCATTTGATCTTAGTTATATTGTCTTGTATCTCAGCTTATTGTTTCTGGACGACTTACCGTCGATCGCAGTTAAATTTTGTTATGCAAAGTTCGGTGACAGAAGACGAATTACCCGATATTACTGAGGTTACCGCCGCTGAAGAGGAGGAGGCGGAAGCTGCCGCCGCTCATACCGCTCTCCTAATGGAAAGCATAGATTCATCTACAGCGGTTGATTCAAGTATGTGCAATACATGTCATAAATATGTCCCAGCTCGCACCGTCCATTGTCAAGTATGCGGCGCCTGTATTTTACGGCGTGATCACCACAGTTATTGGTTAAATTGCTGCATTGGGCAATGGAATCATATGTACTATTTATTGGGTCTAATTTTCGGAATTTTAGCATTACTATTATGCGCCAATCTAACTTTGACGGCCGTTTGCCATCCGTTTTTGGTTGTAAGACTGTTCGGCGTAGCTGTAATGCTTCCCGACGATTGTACCGAAGTCTTTGACGAATACACTTTGAGTCTGTCATTTATCGTTGCTTTATACGCTTTGCTAATGACCTGTTATATGTTGGTGGCTTTAGTCAAACAGATTTGCAAAATATCACGCAACTCGAATACTGCATCTGGTAGGCGTAATCATGCCAACGGCACTTTAACAAAATGGTTAAGCAATTGGAAAGCATTTCTCTTTTAGATGAGGAAAGCGCACAATTAATTGAAACCGACTTACATAAGTAAACGCAGGTACTATTCTAAGCTGCTGCACAATTGCAATACAACAAAAAAATATTAAAAATTAGCTTAGTAACAAAATGGGTCAGCAAATAAATTGCGTCGAATTTTTAGTAACTGTCTAGAGCGTATGATAATAAGTTTTCTGAAGTGTTTAAAATAACGGGGATTTATCCACAATTGTATTCTAATCATTAAGCAATCTATCCAAAGTCAATATTATAGTAAGTAAGTGAAATATTAATGTTAAGTAAAAAATAAGTTTAAAGCAAAATAATAATTGCTGACAGTAAATTTGAGAAGAAGAAGAAACAATAAAGTCTTAATTGTTAAGGAACAAAATTATGGGTGCACTCTCATCAAACTTGCTTGCTATTCGCTTAATTTCGAACGGTTGAGAAATCAAATCATATGTTTTCATGCACACATACCTACACTGATTGATTTTTTTTTTTTTTTGTTTTCTAATTTTCTTTTTATATGCAACAAACATTCTAACAAAAAAATGTCAAAAATTCGCCGTGAGGTAAAGTCGACTGCGATTTATTATCAGCGGACCGTAAATGAAAATTCTTTTCAATAAACAAGGTTTTGCAGGCTTTTAAAAAATTGCATCGCACTAGACAAAATGTATTTGCCGGAGATGATCGGGCTTTGGCGGCGGGGCGTAAAGAAATAAATGATAGATTTAAAGCGAATATGAAAGAAACTGATGAAGATGCCATGAAGAAGGTAAAGGTGTGCTTTCTAGAAATAGAAGGAATTAACTTAAATGTTGTTAATCGCATTAGATGCTGAAATTGGCGGTAGATGCGAACAGAGAGTTGCGCACCTCCGTTATACAAGCTCATGAAAAGGCAAGTGGTATTTACGGTAAGTATTCTTTTTCAAAAGATGGCAGAGGGGCGATTTTATATAAACCGTTATAGAACTGCGCATACGAGATGAAACCACTCGTTTAGATAATGTGCTCTTCAACCCAGATGCTGTTATAGAGCCCCCACGACGACGTGGAAAACGAGCTGATGCGGGGGAAGACTGCCTCGCTGCCGCTAGCTCCAAAAAGCAAAAATAGTCTCAGTTACAGATTCCTTTTGGAAACTTCTATTTATTTTAATAAAAGACAAATTAGTTCGTTTAGGAAATTTTATTTCCGATGTTTTTCGATTTCGTGTTTTTTGTTTTGGGCCTTCATGCGTATCACCTTCTTTTTTTTGTGTTCCTCTGCCGAACTGCTTGTAACAGATGAAGAAGTAGATGAAGTATCATCGCTCGAACTGGAGGAATCGCTCTCACTGCTAGTCTCAGTTTCTGAAGAACTTTCACTGCTACTACTACTGCTGCTACTAGGAGAGGATTTTTTCTTATATTTTCTACTTTTCTTTTCCTTGCTTTCCTTTGAATGTACGCCACGTTGGTGTCTTTCCAGATTTCTCTGACCTGCTTTGCGAGATAGACGTTTTTCGTAAGTCCTACGTGCATGAGTATTTTTATCTCGTTTGTGTAAAGCTTGCTTTCCATTTCCTTCTTTTGAAGTGTGATATTTGCCGCTATACCCGGCTTGTCTTTCGCGACTATATTCTCCGTAAGATGATCCTTTGCAGTCGTTTGACCTTGAAAGAGGTCTTGAGAAACGCTTACGATTTTCATGTTTATGATGGTATTCTTCTCCAGCTTTCATTCTTTCTACCGAAGAAATTTCGCGACGCTTGCGGGATCTCGAACGAGTCCTTCTTCTGTCTCGACTGTATTCTACTCTCCTCCTTCTTCCTGATGTTTGGTTTCTTGTATCCTGATTTTCGCGTTTGCTGCTTCGTAAGTTGTTGAAATCTAAGCTTCTGCTATCGCCTTCTACACCCCGGCCCTTACCACGCCATTTAATTTTAGCTACGGACTGTGAAAAGTCTACGTGAATTCTGCGATCATCAATAAGCACATTGTCCATTTTGAAGAAAGCCGCTTCGCACGCCTTTTTCTCGTCGAACTCTACAAAAGCATATTGCAGGGAGTCTCCCGACTTACGATCTCGTATCACTTCGCAAGTTTTAACTTTGCCAAAGCGACTAAATATAATTTCCAAGTCGTCATCGGTTGTTACGGGATTCAATTTGCAAACAAATAAGACATTTTCTGGGGGAGCCATTTCTGCATCTGGCAAATCACCAACTATTTCCAAAATAGTAGCTCTTGCTTTAGCTTCACGTTCTGCTAGCATTTCTTGAATTTCTTCCATGGTCTTGCCGTCTGTATCATCGATATCTTCATCTGCTGCGATGCGACCGTTTTTTAGCCTTTCCGGTGTAGGAGAAGGTGAACGGCTGGGCTCACGAAAACTTCTGGGGTCCGCGTATGGATCATCTAATATCACGGTATGAGTAATACGGATATCTTGATAAGGTCTGAATTTGTCGTCAACAATTGCTTCGTTAAGCTTACGTAAAATCTCACTGCCTTCTACCACTTCTCCAATTACACAATGTTGGCCGTCTAAAGATTCAAGATCTTCGCCTAAAGTGAAGAAAAATTGGCTCCCCACTAAATGCTTTCCTGCGCCCACCAAAGATATAAGACCAGCATTCTTGTGATATATTTTAGGAAGATTTTCCGCTTGAAAAAACCGCTTCTGCGGTCCCTGTAGCACGCCAAAAATCGAATCGCCCCCATCACCAGATCCTGTAGGATCACCTGTTTGTGCTATGAATCCTTGTTCGATCGTGTGAAACAAATTATAATTATAGTATTTCAATTTGCAGAGTTTAAGGAAATTCAGGCAAGCCAAGGGCCTTTCTTCAGTGAATAGATCGACCGTCATATCACCGATCGTAGTTTCAATAACTACCGACATTATTTCTTAATTGGTAAAATTCGAATTGAAAGAAAAGTTTACAGGCAAAGCGCACAAAAAATAAGTAACCCTTGAAGTAAAAGAAAAACTGCTGATGTGAGGAGACTTGCCAGAAGAGCTTCACGCAAAGCAGGTTTGAATAGCGCTACACAAAACGACGTAATGTTTTTGGGATTTATATACAAAAGGAATTTTACTTGTTTTAGATAAAAAAATCATTACTTTTATGATTGTTTTGTTTCTGTAAAAATAGTGTAGTGTGTACCTTGTTCTTGCATATTGAACAATTAGTAGTTATTATTATTCGATTGGGGACTCATCATCAAGGTTGACAGATAAACTGATAACCTTGAGTGTAAAAACTTCCAATGTGGCCAGGAGACTGTCTTTCGTTTAAGTCCATTCTGAATTTTTTTCTATTCGTCTGCCAGTTTGTCTGTCTGATGGATCTTATATTTCATTCACAAATCGCAATTTTCGAGATATTTTGAAATTTGGACTTTGATTGAAGAACGAACGCTAGTAAGAATAATGCGGATTGGACCACCTTTTGCACTCCTTCGTATATAACGGCTTATTTTGATAAGAATTTATATTATAGAATATCGGCATACTCAATTCATGTGAAAACCCTGAATCGAATAGGACAATTTTTGAAATCCCTTTCCATATTAATTTTTGCACCGCGCAAGTCTTTGCATCCTAACTCATATAAGCATCCGAATAAAGAATAAGCCGTTACATATCAAAATGGTATAATTTCTTTAAGAATTCTATTTTTTGTCTACATTTGCCCTGCACGTACTACTGCTTACTTTTCAAACTTGGTAACATTTGATGTACGTGTCTACTCTGTAAAAAAGACTTGACAACTCTACACCAGTGTATTTGATTTATATTCAATTTAGATGTAAAAATTTAGAAAAGGGGATCGGAAAGTCACTATCGGAATTAAACCAAGTTTTCTAGTTTATTCCGCAAAACGAATTCAAACATTTTTCTAAAAAAATCCTGTAAAAATTAATAGAAAAAAATTGTAAAAAATTATATAGGGTGAAAAATTAAAAACCAAAACAAAAATATAAGTTTTACTGCAAGGGAAAAAATTGTTTATCAGCGCATTAACAAGGCACACAATCAATACGCACAAGAAAGCCTATAAGACGCGATAATATATGAAAACAAAAAAAAAAGGAAAACGGGAAACGGATGAGAAAATAAAAACTAAATGCAATCCAAAAAAATTTAAAAAGAGTAGAAATATTAAGTGTATGAATGCTTTTCCAAAGTCTTAGGAATAACTAAATTCCAAGCTGTACGAATTAATTGGCTGGCGAAGAGGAAATAACAGCAAAGCTGGCTATAGCAAATTTTTTGAGCAGCATGTCGGATGATGAAGAGGATGAAGTTACCGATTTGAAGTTGCAAATCTTCCACAACACTGTACGAGAGCACATAGTAAGTAAAGAAAATTGTAAAAAACAATTGGGCTATACTTATGTCCCCCGATCTTACTTAAAGTAATGATATCCTTTATAGATTTCACTCTTAAGGGTTTTAATGAGTCTTGTTAAAATAGCTATGATTTGCGTATTGTGTGAGGATGCGTTTGGAGTTTTTTTCTTTCATTTTTAAAATTGAAGAAAGCCTTAAAACTGAACAAAAGCAAAATTAAAATAATATTGTATAATAATACACTAACCACAATGATAAAAACCAGGAGGTAAAAACATTGCGGGAGGATAAATTAAAAAAAAATAAAATGAAGTAACCCGCAACAGGCAAATAAAACGCCTGGGATACGAAAACTTCTTATCAGTAATTTGCCAAAAAACTTTTGTGGGGCCAGCTTAGACTGCTTTAAGTTTGTATTTTTCTTTCGAAATTTGAAGGGCATATCCAGGTGCAAGGTCAAGACTAGTTATTTATTTGCAAGAGTAAATTAGGTTAGTCGTTTACATTTGAGTTGTTCTTGAAATCGTCCATGTTGGAGGCATCATTACTTACGTATAAAGATTTATACAGACTATGATCGTAGCAGCTACTGTCTTAATGACACCCAAACTTGTGCCGAACGATAAGGGTAACGGTTTTTTGCCGTTTCTTCAGACGTTTCCGATTACTATTAAGTGTAGGACCTAGTCCTCCAAAACATAAGTTTCGTTGGAATCTGAAAATAATAAATTAATTTTATTCTAAATATGGTTTGGCTAACCTTTAATTCGGAGCTTATGTCGGTGAAGCATCTTCTTGACCCACCCCAACGTATTTGTCGATAGGGGATATACATACATACATATATTATTATATGTGCACAAATTTTGAATGTTTTTATAGCTGTTTTTGTTTTGTTTACTTTTTCGTGGCATTTAATGTATGGGACGCATATACATGTTTGTTGTTGTTCTTTCTTTTTGCTTACAACTTTAATAGTTTAAAAAAAAGAAAAAAATTATTTTCATTTAGAAAACATTGCTTTCCATGAAATTTGTGCAATCGCAAGGTCTTCTTTATTTAGTTAATCGTCTTTTTTTTCTCTTATATTTGTTATTCTGTTGTATATCAATAATTAGATTAGAATTAAAGTTGGATTTTTATAAGTTTTCCATGTAAATATTTTTTTTGTAAATAATTGAAGCGTGAACACTATCATTCTCTTTACTCTTAAAATGGATTACCGCGACTTTTCATTTTTTAACCATACTGCCCGTCGGAACAAATTACGAGCAGTGATCTTCCCCACCTTAGCTGATGTCTCCATTTTCAAGTCGAACTTTTGCAAACACTGGTCTTCCTATAACCCTTCCTAACTACCAAGATATCCGCGTCCTCCGAGTGACTTGGTCATAAAAGAAAAAAAACGTTCAAAAATTCGAGCCAAAGCAGTTGAGCTGAGCGAAGCTTTTCCTACGTTGCCACAAAAGGATGAAGTTAAACATAAAGGTCGAAATCACCTGTTTAACGTTTCTCGAGCCATCTTCTGCATGTTCTGTCAGAAACTGTGCCGTCGCGAAGCACTTTTAATAAATTTCTGCTTGGTAGTCTAGCATTTTTTTCTGAACAAGTTTTACTAGCAGCCATGGGGCTATGATCGCAACTTACTTGATATTAGAATGACTCATTTTCGCTTTACTTCATTTGCTGGGTCAGCGCGTATATGCATTCAGTGATAAAAAGGCAGAGCCAAATATGCATTTAATTAATACTTGACGCATACTTCTTGAAAAATTTTCGCTTTTCCCTTATTGCCATAAAAATTGACAATCAATTGGACCGTCTTTTTCGATCTGGATATTTGCCCATACATAAGATAAAGGATGGAAATTAAGATACACCTCATAACTGAAATTTTTTCTTGAAAGCAACCTAAGCTTAAATCCTATACATAATGCCGTGGGTAGAAAAGCGTTGATTGATTGTTTCTGTTCAGCGTATTCCGTCGAAGAAAAGTAATATTTAAGTAAGTGAGTTACAGCAACAAGCAATAGCTATTTCTAGACAATCAGTCGAATGAATGCATGTTGTTGTAAATAGTTTGGTAAGTAAAAGATATATTTTGTAATTTATTAGAAAAATAATTAAATGCCGCTTTTATTTAATTTTGTACTTACTTTCTTGCAATTCGCTTTCTTCGGCATTGAATAGGTGTTGCTTGCTATTAGTGCAAGAGATGAAAAACTTTCACTGCCAGAGCAAAAATTTCCACAAATTTTTTTTTTTTTTTTTTTTGAAACACTTGCTTATATTTGCCATCTGTTTTACAATAAAAACAACTAAAAGCATTGTTAATGGGAGCACGGCCCGCCATCAAATACCCTACACAACCCTTCAGTTGCCTATATATCGACCATGTGTATCGACTTTCATCAAAATATCTCAAGTTTGCTGTTTGCAGGTTGAACAAAGGAAAGCAAGGCAGACGGACAAATAAGCTTAGATTGATTCAGAAAATGATTCTTAATCCATAAGGTGTAGGGTATAAAACTATCGCGATGAGAATTTCAAAATTTTACAAAAATAAAAAGAAAAGTGAGTGACATGATCTTGAAGGTTTCCTTCATACGTTTACCTCAATAGCTCACGTGTAGATACGTGTCGCGCATCGTCTCGCAGCACCAATTGAATTTAGTTGATCGAAAATGAGTTTATTGAATAATTAACTTCTTTTAAATTTAATTAATTTCATTAATTTAATTCATTTCTTGCAATCGGCTGCAAATTTACAAACTTGAGGGGAACGCTTAACATTGTTTAACATTTGCATAAGTTTGCGACCTTTTTCCATCCGTTTTTTAAATTATGGCTTGCAAACAGAAAACCTGTTAACAAAATTTATGTTAAGATTTGTAAAGTGGTTTGTAAATGATAAATAACGGTAAATATCGAATAATGGCAGACATTAGGCAGTTATGGCAAACGAAGCATGATGCACTCGCTCACTTATGGTTACACGTTGCGAGTGAAAATTTATTTTTAAAAACATATGTGTGCTCGCTTATGCAAGAAAACATTAATTGGAATCTTAAAAATATCAAAGACATGACAAAGGAGAAATATATTTAAAAATAGTCGCGCTTTTATGTTTCGCTTGAAAAGCACGGCCAACTATATGAAGTCACTGACTTCTCATGAACTTTTCATCAGTTCTTACGCTTATAAGTTGCTTTTTTTTTTTGCGAATTCTCCTCTTTTTGAATTCTCATATTAAGAAGAAATTGCTTTGATTTTCATATCAATTTTGTAGTATATATTCGCAAAAGTGTAAAGGAAGTAATGAATAATGTTTGAGAGTTTGTTTGTAGTTTCGGAATGTAAAAGTTGCTGCAAATTATTTTCACTGGATCGAACTGACATGTTGCACACTGCCTACGTAGCACGTACAGTTTAGGGTAAAACATAAGCGTCTCTGAGCTGCTGGCATATTCGCATAAGGAGTGGAAACGATAGCGCCCCAAACATGTACGTATGTTATTCATCCATCGGTTACGCAAAGCAAAAAAAGCACAAATTTGTTGCCTTAAATGTTTATGAAGACGAAATGAATAAAAGCACAACAACTGTGCGTATGTGTGTCTCGTTATCTTTGAAAAAAAACCTACACAGATATCGCATATGGGCGTAGCCAACATAATTGCAATAATAAACTCCAAAAAGCATTTGTAGATATATATGTTGTCGCTTAAACCTTTCTCAGAAAAACAATCTAAAAAAAAACTTAATTAAATAAAAATTGTCAGCATGTTTTCAGGTTGTGGCATTTAAATATCATTGCTCCTAAAGGCTTTGCTTGCTTCTCTTTCATGCGAAACGTATACAGAGAGAGGGGTTTCAGCCAAAACAAAAACAACGGTACAAAATATCTTCGCGCAAACTACAATAGGAATGGATTTGATATTCAATATTATCACTTACCCGCTGTAAATGTTCATATACCGGTGCGTCTTCAGCACGCACGCGTTCATCGAAGGATGAACGTATGTTAATTTTGTCGAAAATTTGGCGACATAGGATATATATTCCCAGTGAGCCTCAAATTTGAATTGGTTTCAGCATGTCCGTCCGTCCGCTGTACGCAAAATTTCTGCTGTAAACATTCTTCGGGCCGCACACAAATCAAGCTATCCGCTCCACCCCATAGGCTATATTTTAATGCCATCGACGCACAATGCTGCCTTTCACGCGCAAAGGAAGTGATGTACAGCTCTTCCCCTTTGGTGGCGTCAACGTAGAATATTGACAATCCCTGACGTTCTGGGAGAGAGATCACGAAATTAGGATCGCTGAACAGAACATATATTGAAAGTGGAGGACGATGAAATCCAAAGTTTCAGGTTTTTTGAAGCGGTGTAAGAAATTCCTATACAATCCGTTACCTTATATACGGCCAAAATTAGAACATAACTTGCATGTTTGGGTGGGAGAAAGATGGTTTGGAGGCCTACAGCGGAAGCCTTATGTGCTCGTGGGCGAGGAAAGTGTTTCCAAAACCCTTGATACCTTCAAACATTAGCAAACGTTGTGCTAAGTGTTCTGCAGAGATAAAAGAGATGTGTCCACCAATTAAGTTGTCGACCAGGACCAAAGGGCTTTCTCAGCGTTGCCAATCACTCGTTCTGGAATCGCCTAAATAGCAGGTGGCACACTACCACGACTCATCACACTGCACGACTGTGGAACAATCTGTCGGCACAGCAGTCTTTCCCCTCGTACCTTATGATTGCATTTTTTAGTTAAAAGTACACAAGCACTGCTCCCTCTTTACATAAAAAATTTTTTTCACTCTTAAACATTACTCTTAAACTGCAGTATATGAAATCATAAAAATTACAACGTATCCTGTATGGACAATGCTTTAGTTACAAATCGGCCACGACTACCCGACGTTAGCAGTGCATCGATATTTAATCTTTTCGCAATATCTTCGCGGCGCCCAGAAGCGAGCTTCAAAACCCACGTAA